TATATATATATATATATACACACATATATATATCTCCATCTGTTGATGAACACTGAAGTTGTTTCTATATCTTGGCTACTGTGAATAATGTTGCAATGAACATAGGAGTGCAGATATATCTTTGAGATAGTGATTTTATTTGCTTTGGATATATACCCAGAAGTGGGATTTCAGCAGATATTTTTCAGTGCCTACTATATGCTAGGCACTGAATGATGGTACTGGAAATATAATGATGAAAAACATAGGTATGGCCCTCGCCTTTGCATAACTCACCTCCTAGGAGGGTAACAGATGTAAAATAAGAAACTGCATAAGTAATTTGATATTTCCAATCATGAAAAGTTGAACAAAGGAGAAGTATAGGGTGAAAGGAGACTTAAGGTAGATTGAGGATTAGATGAAGACTTACAAGAGAAAGTGATATTCTGAATGAACTGCAAAATGAGTAGGATTAAGCTAGGAGAAAGGGAGAAGAAGGACAAAAGTATACCTCAGGAATATGGAAGAACATGCATGAAGGCCCTGAAGAAGGAAGGAGCATGGTGTATCAGACAAAATGAAGGAGAGACAATATGGATGGAGCTTAGAGAGAGAAGGGTGACAGGTATGAGAAGAGCCTGGAGAGTTCAGCAGGGACTTTTAGACCATGCTTAAAATTTTGGAGTGTATTTTAAGAGTAATGGGAAATCATGTCGATTTTAGGTAGGGGAGGACATAATTAGATTTGAATTTTTTTAAGATCTAATTTTTAAGTAACCTCTATGCCCAATATGGGTCTTGAACTCACAACTCTGAGACCAAGAGTCACATGCTCCACCAACTAAGCCAGCCAGGTGCCCTTATATTTGAATTAAAATTTTTTAAAATCTTTTTTTAAAAAAAAGTTTATTTATTTTGAGACAGTGAGTGCAAGCAGGGTAGGGGCAGAGAGAGAGGGAGGGAGAGAGAGAATCCCAATCTGTGCTGACAGTGTGGAGTCTGATGCAGGGCTCAACCTCACAAACTGTGAGATCATGACCTGAGCTGAAATCAAGAGTTAGCCGCTAAAATGACTGAGCCACCCAGATGCCCCTAGATTTGAATTTTTAAGAGTTTACTCTCCTCTACAGTGGACTGGAGGGAAGCAAGCATAAATCAAGGGTCGAGCTGGGGCCTATTGTAGTAGTCTAGGCAAGAGATTACGGGGGCAGTCCAGATTGAGAGGTGGGTATGTTTACAATATAACTTTGAGATAGATATGGCAAGAGTTGATGATGAAGTGGTTTAAGAGTGAACGAGAATAATATATCAAGGATAATTCTTAAGTTTTTGACTTGAGTAACTAATTAGAAGGTAGTACCATTTCTGAGGTAGGGAACACTGGATGAAGAGGTTTGGGAGTGGGGCTGAAATGTTCAGGAGTTCAGTAGTGGACATGTTCAGAAGAGATGTTGAGTAAGGGATTGGATATATGGATCTGGAGCTCAAAGGAAAGGCCAGGGATAGAGACCATTAAATTACCAGTTTATAAACATTTGTTATGTCAGATCACACAGTTATGTAACCTTCTGAATACAAGGTAAATATTCAGGGAATCATGGTTTTTAACTCAGGAAACCATTAAGTACAAAATTAGGATCACAGTGATTTAATAGGGTAAGTCAATATGTATCCATCATCTCGTACTATGACTTATCCAAATAAAATATTTCACTTCTCAAAAATAGACATCCTTAGAATAACAGAATAGACAGCAATTAAGCTGCTTTGCTTCATGCTATTTTACGACATTATCAACCCCTATATTTGTCTTTACTTTACAGGAGATCTATAAAAATACATTTGAAATAAAAGGTATTTTGAACACTTTCTCCATGCAGAGGCTTTTAATTTTTTCTAATGTAACCATATTTTCCATGTTCAGAGAGTGTGTAATAGAGAAAGGACAGCTAAATATAGGCTGGCAAATTTATTTTTCCAAGGGTCCTGCTTTCTAACTTCAGAATAAAAGGGATTTCATATTTGAGGCAAAACATATTGGAATATTAGCATGACAGAGCAATTACTTGTTTATTTTGTTTTATACCCTATTAGATGTAAACTTAATGAAGTCAGAGGTTTTTGTTTTATTCATTGCTGTAATTCCATCATCTAAATCAGTGTTTTGCACATAGTAGGTATTCAATAAATATTTGAGGAAAATTGAATGAAATGATAAGTAGTGTCTTCACAGTGTGTCTGATTGTTATAAAATTTCTGAATCCATAGAAAGATACACTCATATTGAAAAAGATACACACACAAGTATACAGATATTGCCAAAGTATGATAGAGATACCTTAATTTATCATGTTTTTAACTACCCATCCATAGCTTCTCATTGTTAAAGGAGATTTTGGAAAGTTTCCTGTGTTTACTCTGGGAAATCTATTAATTTTCATTTCCACTGATGGTATTAAGAATCTCATAGATCTAACAGATAAGATCTATTTCACTTCTGATAGTACTCAAAACTTTCTTTTCATATCAAGGCAAATGGCAGAGTGATTTACTGAACAAACAATACCTTACACTTCTCAAAGAAATCTCTTACACAAAATATTCATCAGAGGACCGTATCACAAAAGAATTGTTCAATACATCCAGATAACCCATAAAATAAATTAATGAAGCATGTAAAATGTTGCTAAAGATTATGGCAAAATGCAGCAAAACAAAACAAAACCCAACCCCAGTAAAGTACAGTTTTAAAGAATTTTCATGGAACCTTAGCAAAGAAACAGGTATTGAGCATCTTCAAAATATGACACATGATAGTTGTGGGTAGATATAAAGATGGAATACTCAGTCCCTGTATTCACAGTACTTACCATCTATTAAGGGAGTCAGAACTAACCAGTTCAGCAAACAGTGGCATCCTACTAAGCAAGAGGCCCACGTTAGATGCAGGGGGTAAAAAGATAAGGCACAGTCCCTGTCATAGAAGGTCTTATAATTTAGGCCTATCTGGGTGTGTATTTTTGTACATATGTAGATATGTGTACTGTATAGGAACCAACCTAAATGCAAATAATTTCAGGGCAATATGGAAGACTATGACAGAATGTTAGCACTACCTATGGAAACTTAACCCAATATAGGGAGGACATAAAAGGAGGAGGTGGTAGAAGCTAAACTGAATCTTAAGGATATGTTAGGTAGAGAATGGGAAGATAATCCCATGCTGGAGGAATGACAGTGTGACTGGGAAACCACAAACGATTCAGAGGACAAGTTGTGTAAGGGAAGGTCCACTACTGCACTCGCTTTGAATTATTTTGAAACGCTTATAAAATAACTACACAACGAACCCTAAAGCCCCTCATCAAATACAATCACTTTACTATAAAGGCCATTTTATCATGGTCATTTCTGCAGCAGTTTATCAGAAGATGGACTCCGTGCATATGTATATGTATAAAAAACTAGATTCAGAATCATTAGACGCTTATCAAGCAACTACTATGCTTTCATATCTTTTTTCGCTGCTGTAAAGCAAGGCTAATTTTCTAAATATATACTGCCGGATGTCCGGCTGGACTAACTAGAACAAATGCAGACTCAATTTAGGTTCCCTTCTCGAGAAACTAGGGCTAGACTAGGGCGAGACGGTTTTCGTGGGTTTTCGTTGGGGAGGTATGGAGGCAAAAACTATATGGGATATAGTTTTAAAGTGTTGGTGCGTAAAATTATGCCTCAGAGGCCAAAACAAAAGAACAGACACGCTAGGGGAAACAGTTTCAAGACTGGAATGAAAATTTCCTTTGTTCACAGAGCAATCCCCTTTCAATTTCACTCCACCCTTCATATATTCCAATTCTTGCTTCATCGTCAGGGGACACCCAGGTTTCCCCACATTCATCCTAGCTACCTAGAGTGAAAATCTCCACGTCATTACTACCTCAAACCTCCAGGCTAAATGCGCCACTGCACTCTGCCTGGAAAATAAATTGAACTTTTAACATTCGCGTAAACATTTCAAATAAAATGTTGTAGCCGCCTACCTGGACCGGCCACCCAAGAACTACAATATCCAGAATGCACTGTTTTCCCTTCCGCCTTCTACCAGGGCAATGCCTGACTTGATCTCATTTCCAGAAGCGATAGTCACATGACACGTTTTCTCTCAAGATGGCGGATAATCTCCCTTCGGAGTTTGACGTGATCGTAATAGGGACGGGTATGTGTGGCTCTGGTACTCCCCGAACAAAGTGTAGGAAGTCTATCTCGTTCCTACCTTTTCTGTCAGTGGCGAAGGTTGGTGAGAAATGCCGGGGGTTGAGCATAGCAGGGAGGACTGGAAGGAAGTGAGGTAGTGTGGAGTCAGCGCGGGAGTTAGCAGCTCCAGGGAGGGGCTTGGACCCACGGTACTTAGCGCCGTTTGAGTAGGGGTCGATCTGATCGATGCCAATTGCTGAGGTTGGTTGCTGCGGTTGGTTCCTGTAATTTCCTTACAGGGTGGTGGGTTTTGCAGTGTCATGAGAATGGAGGATCGGGACTTTATCCATGGAGACGCCTTTTGGCATAACATGATCCCCACCTTGTTGATTTCAAGGCGATATTCTCCGTAATTTTGTCTCGCCCTTTAGTAGGAGTTTTTCATATATTTATGTAGTCCTAGGGTGTATTGCAGCTCGGATACAGCTTAGCCTTCAGTTTTTCGAGAAGGATGCTCAGGTGTTGTTCGTGTGCGTATTAATTACTAGGACCAGGAAACGGATTCTTTTATGTTGAGAGGCCTGGGGAATTGTATTTTGTTGAGGTAGCCATTATTCCTGCTTTATGATGCTGAAAGGTAGCGTTTTGCTTTCTGACACCCACCTATCTACTCACAACTAAATGAGCTGAGAAGAAGCTTCTGTGAATTCCATTTCAGGTGTGTGACCTTATCTTCCCCTTGTTTTCCCATCATTTATTCTCCATGTTTTGGGTGGAGACAGAAAATCCCCTTCAATATCTAGTTGACAAATTCAACGTACCACTTGTGGTAGAAGACATTTGGCAGTAGTTAGTATTTTGTTTTTTAACAGTGTAAAGGGTGGATTTGAAATGTGGTGAAATAGGTTGTTGAGTGGGGTTTTCTGCTGTTTGCAGAATGTGGTAGGCCGGAAAAGCTCTGGTGGATGAATACCTGTCCATTGTGTTAATGAATGGAGTTCGCTGTTTTCTCAAACAGTAGGGGCAGCCATGTTGCCAGGGCCGAGTAAAAATTATAGCTACCTGGTTTTGAATGCTTATTATTTGCTAATCGATTTGCTAAGCACTTTACAAGCCGTATGCAATTCTCACAACCACCTCGTTAGAGTAGGTATTCTCTACACTTTACAGAAGAGGAAACTGGGGCTTAGAAAGGTTGCAGTGTGCTCAAGATCACACAGCTGGTAAATTTCCAAAGGCCCATTCCATCTCAGAAGGAGAATCAGTGGTTCAGACCCTTAGAGTTAACCCATATAACTCTAATATACTCTAATAATTGGGAAAAGTTACTAGATCTTGCAGGTATTTAAATATACCTGTTTGAATTACTAGGGCATTTAATCTCTCTGAGCCTCAGTTTCCTTGTTTTTAAATACAGAGAGGGTACACTAGATATCCTTTCAGGTGTTGTCTAATCAAAAATTCTTATTGTAGTGGCACTTGGGTAATTGTTCTCAGGACAGCAAAGACATGTTTATTCCCATCCTGAGAACTGCATGGCTGCAGATAACTTGTCTGTAGCTGCTGTGAACAAATGTTGGATGAGAGCTGGAAGGAGCCTATAAGACTATTCATTTGTTCTCTCCACTCTATTTTGAAACTGAGAAGAACATCCATTTTTGAATAGTTGTTAATACCATACTTGGATTCTATATTATTGCCTTCCATTTTTTTACCTAGAAAGTTGGGGTGTTTTTAAAATTTTTTGAAACATTAAGAGATTTTTTTCCTATCTGGATTCAAATTTTAATTGATAAGAGTGCTAATTCCTATTAAATGCTACTAATTCTTATAATAAATAGTTTGCTTTCTGGTTCAGTTCATAATATGAACTATTTTCATTCTGTTAGAGTCTGTTATGGTAGAGGTAGGAAGATGCTGTGTGTGATACAGAAAATTGAATTAGGTGGCATCTGGTGTATTTAAAAAAAGATTCATTTTAGACTTGTTCCAGTGAGAGTAATATTTCTCAAAGTATGGGAAAAACTTACTTGAATTTAATCTTAAAAGTTGTTTTTCATATCACTTACTGGTGAACATATTCTGAGTTTATCAAGCACATTGCATAAATTCATGTTATGAAGCTTTGTTTTTAGGCATGTCAAGATGGAAAAATTAGTTAAAAGTTGTTTCCCAAATGACTTCAATAATTCCAATCATTATTTAATCGGAATTATTTAATTTATTTATTTAAATCCAATTTAGTTAACATCTAGTGTAATAATGATTTCAGGAATATAATTTAGTGATTCCTCACTAGATACAACACCCAGTGCTCATCCCAACAAGTGCCATTCTTAATGCCCATCACCCATTTAGCCCATTCCCCACCCAACACCCATTCAGCAACCCTCAGTTCTCTGTATTTAAGAGTCTCTTAAGGTTTGTGTCCCTCTCTGTTTTTATCTTATTTTTGCTTCCCTTCCTTTATGTTCATCTTTAATTGGAATTATTTTTAATGTGTTTGGAATATTTCTTTTTTGAAATAGTTTGCTGAAAGTAGCCTTAAAAATGTTTGCATTACTAAATACTAGCTTGAGTAAATCTTAGAAAAAGCAGCGTTTCTTAGATTCAGTTTTACTGAAAAAAGCAGAGTTAATCATGCATGTATTACAAACATGAAGAAGTAGGCTATGAAATGTAATTTTTATTTTAGTAAATTTAGTTCTAGTTTATGTCATCAAGAGACCATTGCTTCAAGTAAAATCATGTGGATAATACTTAAATCCCTTTGTCTTTGATTAGTGTTTTTCTGTTTTTTGTTTTTTACTTTACATATCATAAGATTTCCCTTAAGATCATGTTTTGAAGAGATTATGGGAAGATGAAGTTTTGTATGTATTTTCTTAGTTAATGTCCATATCCTTTTGATTACAAAATACAGGAAATATCTCTCAGACACCCAAAGGCAGATGAATAAAATAAAGTGTTTGAACTGTGAAAAATAAAGTAGAAAAAGGAAAAAAGGAAGGAAGGCTGACTGGAGTCTCAAAGGAGAGGACAAAACTGGAAATAAATGATGTGTCTAGAAAGTGGCTTTCAGTTGGGGTACACAGTCGTCATTTTCAAGGCATTTTGCCATTTAAAAAGACATTGGAATGATAATTTTGTAGGTTACAGAGAAGTATCCTTGGTTTCAGGTTAAAAATAGTCCCAGTAACATAACACCTCAATGGAGGTGACATCAGGCAACCTCTGTACTGCAGTCTGCTTCAGAGCCAACAATTCAACAGAAGAGCCGGCAAGATGGAAGTTAGGAGAGCTGTGGTAATATTGACGTGCTTCTTACATAGTGGAATCCTTCAGGCCCTTAATTAGAGCATATTTATTCTAATTTTAGAAATAATTCTAGTGTTCTCAGAGCATATTAGAAACATCCTATTTAGAAGATACAGTGTTATCAACTTCTACAAAAGCTGTATTTGGGTGGTGTCATTAGACATAAGTGACAGTTCATGTCTTAATAGGAAAGGGAAGAGACAGACACCTAAAGTGCAAGCCTACATCCAACAGTACAATGGCCTGGGACCAGTTTATGTAGTGACAAACACTCATTTTTCAGAGTATTCAACTCACATTTACTGAGAACTTAGTCTCTGCCCTTGTGAAGTTTACGATATTGCCTATTTTCAGAGACTGGTTGAGGGTTCTGACAGTCACATCCACAGAACTGTTTGTTCTTAAACCAATGTGGGCTTTTCATTGCATCCTTTTTGCTTTCTGAAGACCACATAGTGATTCAGTCTGCATCCCTTTTCTTTCTGAAGTACACCACAGACATTATATTTTGGGAGTTCTTTCCCTAAGACGGGCTAGCTTAAAATTTTTCCTGCAGAGGATAAACACATAGATCCCTTTTATTTTAATTTTTATTTTTGAGAGAGAGCGAGAGAGCGAGAGAGAGAGAGAGAGAACACACTCGTGCAGGCCAAGGTGGGGCAGAAAGAGAGGGAGACAGAGGATCCGAAGCAGGTCCTGCTTTGACAGCAGAGAGCCCTATGTGGGACTCAAACTCACAAACCAGGAGATCATGACCTGAGCCAGAGTTGGACGCTTAACTGACTGAGCCACCCAGGTGCCCTAACATAGATCCTTTTTTGTTTTAAAGTTTATTTTTGAGAGAGAGGCAGAGAAAGAGAGGGAGACATAGAATCCAAAGCAGGCTCCAG